ACCTGGACATGTTACTCCAGAAATGCCATAAGTTGCAGATGAATTGTTATCTTGTTCATAATGTGATAAGTAAACCATCTATAAATGAGTGTTCTAACACACCTGCTGCTGTTATTATTATTAGTTTATTACTGTCATCATAAACCCAAATGACCAACTTTGCCTTTGTGCTTTCCCTCCTCACAGGTTTCTGCGGGTTGTGGTTGCATCTGATGGAGGTTACGTCTGATGATGGTTGTCCCTGCACTGGTCCTGCCTTACCCCTGGCTTAATAATCCACAATATTTGAATCATTTCTGTTGTAGGAATCGGATGTACTGTACATCTTTTAAGTTGTTCACACCTTCTTCCCTACTGTTTTCCCCTCAGGTTTCTCCAGGTTGAAGGTTTTTTACATTTTGGGGTTTAGGGGATAGGGTGTTGCATGTTTACAGATTGCAAAGCTGAACAAAATAAAATGAATTGAATAAACAACGTTGACCAGAGGAATCTGCTCCGTGCACTCTGACTCCCTTTACACAAAGAATCCTCAAGTGAGGATGAGGGAGATGCAGCTGATTTCAGGTATACTATCCCAACTCAAGTGAGGCACATCTTGTTACAGAATCTATTATGAAGTTCCAATGATTCAGAAAAATGGTCTACAAACACAGAATTGTTGAACACAGAAATGTTGTTTCTGCACTTTTAATTCCATAATTTATTTTCCTGAAAAATATATTTTATTTCTGTATTGTTTTTAATTAGCAAAAGTGTTGTTATATGTATAGTGTTATATTTATAATAAATACAAATCAATAAAATAATGTGTTTGCCCTTGTTAAGGGATGTTAACATGACAACTGTGACTAAGTATGTAACTTGTAAGTTTCCAGCGAGCAATTTATCCGTTGAAACAACGTTTAAAAGACGTCTATGGCCCGACGTTGAAAAGAGGTTGCAAATTGGTTCAAAAGTGAAAGTTGCAGAGCTGCCAACTTTTCAAAAAACCTTGGAGTGAGATTTTGTCGGGGGTGACCAAAATTTTGCCGCGCACGCAGCCACACACGTTGGTGGCTCAAATATCAGGAAATTGGAATTCATTTGGCGTAGTACCCATGTTGTACCCTGCATTCTGGTGGTTTGTGGGGCCCAAAGTCGTTGATAGGGGCGGCCTACTGGAGATGGACAACATTGATTACATTCTGTGAAGCAAAGACATAGCTGATGGTCCACCCCCAGGACATTTTGGTTTAAGTAGATGTTATTTCATGCATTCTCGTGGATTTTTGGGTGGTATGCCTGAACTTATTCTGATTTATGTTCATCTGCTCATGACTTGTTGGGCCTTCTAGACTTGAGCTGAACATTCAACCAGAAAACTATTGCTGTGCCTCAATGACTGTCTATGTACCACAATATAGCCTAATTAATAGACCTGTGTTTAAGATTAGACCAATTTAGGTTGATTGACATTTTGATTACAATGGTATTCAACTAATTCTTAACTGAAACCTAACCTATATTGTTAATAATTGTATTCTTAAGAGCACTTAATGATTTATGTTCAGCAAAAAATGACACAAGTTTAGTTAGGGAAAAATATTTTTCATTATCAAACAAAAAGTGCAACAAATAAAGTGCTTAAAGTGCTTAAACAGTAGCCTTTCAAAGCAAAACAATGGATACACATAATATAAATACACATATATAAAATAACAAAAAATGAGGTATTAAGAAGGAGATCAGAAGCTGGTTAGTAATTTGTGTTTTGAGCATGCAGTATACCAAGAGGTTAACAAGGTGCTCTCCTGCTGCTTGTTATGACAGCTGAGTTTACATTCACCACTCAAAATCACACGCACAAACACAACAAATAATTTCTTTCAAGATTTAAAGTTTAAGAGAGTGAGTACTTAATTGAACCACATGTCATTAACATACCTTAGTCTTTGCTCCTCCTGAGTTTCTCCCGCGGTTGTGTCTGTTTGAAAATCTTCTTCTGTTGCTAACTTCGGGACTCTTTGGGGTAAATAGGATGTCTATGCAGCGAATGGGTTTACAGATGCGCTCCTTAGCGCCATCTATTGTCGGGGAGTTTGAAAAGGAACGAACGCGCTTCGGCCCAAAATCAGATTTTTTTTTTTGCCGTGAGAAATTGGTTGTGTGGCGTGAGTGCGTGTGAAAACATGCAAAAGCGTGTGTCACACGGCGAAACCGTGAGAGTTGGTAGGCCTGAAGTTGTTTCAACGTCTATTCGTAGACGTTAAAAAGACGTTCACGTATAGACCCGTTTTCAACGTGATTTATAATATCGGTGGTAAACTTACAAATGTGAACGTCTAAAATAATGATATAGCACGCAAGAGAGGACGAAATATTACCGTATTCTAAAATCACGTTGAAATGTGGTCTAAACATAGACGTCTTTTCAACGTCTATTCATAGACGTTGAAACAACTTTCACTTTTAAACCATTTTGCAACGTCTTTTCAACGTCGGGCCATAGACGTCTTTTAAACGTCTTTTCAACGTTGAAATGCTCGCTGGTTGAAATGTGGTCTAAACGTAAACGTCTTTTCAACGTCTATGAATAGACGTTGAAACAACTTTCACTTTTGAACCAATTTGCAACCTCTTTTCAACGTCGGGCCATAGACGTCTTTTAAACGTTGTTTCAACGGATAAATTGCTCGCTGGAAACGTACAAGTTACATACTTAGTCACAGTTGTCATGTTAACATCCCTTAACAAGGACAAACACATTATTTTATTGATTTGTATTTATTATAAATATAACACTATACATATAACAGCACTTTTGCTAATTAAAAACAATACAGAAATAAAATATATTTTTCAGGAAAATAAATTATGGAATTAAAAGTGCAGAAACAACATTTCTGTGTTCAACAATTCTGTGTTTGTAAACCATTTTTCTGAATCATTGGAACTTCATTATAGATTCTGTAAAAAGATGTGCCTCACTTGAGTTGGGATAGTATACCTGAAATCAGCTGCATCTCCCTCATCCTCACTTGAGGATTCTTTGTGTAAAGGGAGTCAGAGTGCACGGAGCAGATTCCTCTGGTCAACGTGTTTATTCAATTCAAATCATTTTATTTTGTTCAGCTTTGCAATCTGTAAACATGCAGCACCCTATCCCCTAAACCCCAAAATGTAAAAAACCTTCAACCTGGAGAAACCTGAGGGGAAAACAGTAGGGAAGAAGGTGTGAACAACTTAAAAGATCTACAGTACATCCGATTCCTACAACATAAATGATTCTAATATTGTGGATTATTAAGACAGGGGTAAGGCAGGACCATTGCAGGGACAACCATCATCAGACGTAACCTCCATCAGATGCAACCACCACCCGCAGAAACCTGTGAGGAGGGAAAGCACAAAGGCAAAGTTGGTCATTTGGGTTTATGATGACAGTAATAAACTAATAATAATAACAGCAGCAGGTGTGTTAGAACACTCATTTATAGATGGTTTACTTATTACATTATAAACAAGATAACAATTCATCTGCAACTTATGGTATTTCTGGAGTAACATTTTCAGGTATATTACACAGTATCATGCTTTAAGCAGCAGTAACTTACAATGTTTCGGCCTCTTGTTTACAGAGCACAACTTGTTGAATTCAGCCCTTCACCCTTGCAATGCAACTTAGCCACCATTGCTTTAAAAACGTATTTTTTTCAATGTGAAATGCAATAATATTTATGGGTACAGCAACAATCTAACGCATTAGCAACACCAAACACGCACAAAAATGTCTGGAATGTTTACTTTTGGTCCAGGTCATCATGCTGCACGCTAGCATGCTCCAAGCTAGCATGCTAACTAGCAAACTACCTGCGCTAACGCTAACTAGCTTAACAAAAAGGGCCGTCTTTCCCGTATCGGGTGGGCAGCACAAGTAAAACACCCGGTTATAGTTCCATGTGTGCTTCATTCAAACACTCCCGTACTTACAGAGCAGTGGAGCCGGTAGTCGTGGTTCCATCAGCCCGTTCATGTCGCTCTGCTGCCGTAACTTCGCCTCGTGCTGCGTCCGCTCGGAGCTCTGCAGGCGTCTAAGAACTCGCGCATGCGCGTTACAGATGTGAGCGGAGTTACGTGTTTACAAGTAATGTTTGAACCTGCCCGCATTATTATGTCTTAAACGCATCTTATTGACAGCACGCAGTCCGTAGTTTCATATTTATGACGTTTTAAGCGAAATAGTAAATACGTTGAAATTACGTCTTCGCGTAGACCAAATTTCGCCGACCAGTTCATTAATTATTCTGAAAATCTTAACGTTAATATCGTCTCTCTTTCAACCTTACGTTACAACATGACACATTTATCAACAAATTATCGTTTTCTGGCACGTTGATGTTTCATCCCATTCTAGACGGTTGAAAAGACGTTGAAATGAGGTCTTAGACGTTCAGACCTCATTTCAACCCGATTTCAACCATATTTCAACGTTGAAATTACGTCTTGTGCTCACTGGGTTCTATCTCCCTCCATCTCAGGGTCAACCACTGCGACCTGGCTTTTAGTACAAGACTTGTTTACAGAATGTTTTTACCACTACATGCATCTCACAATGTCAATGGAAAAATCCCACTTAAAAAAACTGACCGCCATTATATTTTTCTTCTCGCGCACCCCCTGGTCGCAGCTCGCGCACCACACATTGGGAATCCCTGCTCTAGAACAAGTGACTTATCTGGGACATGTGATCACAGCTGAGGGCAGATCCCTCTCTCCCAAACGTATTGGGGCAATTCAATTGGTACCAAAAACAAAACATTAAAAAAACGAATGATGAGTTTTTTGGGGATGACTTCATACTGTAGAGCAGGGGTGTCAAACTCATTTTCACCGAGGGCCACATCAGCATAATGGCTGTCCTCAAAGGGCCAGATGTAACTTATAAATGTAACTAAATGTGATTGAATGTAATGTAAAATAAATGTAACTACTCCTTAATGTTAAATAACTCATTATTTATTCTAACGTAAATGACAGTTCATTTTTTGCATTTTCCCCTTCATTAGTCCAACCAAGCCCACTTTTCCTCCACACATTGCCGGTGCACCGTCTGTAGTTAATCCTACCAAGTTTTCCCACTGCAATGCATTTTTACTTACGGACTTCTCCAACGCATCAAAAATGTCCTGTCCCGTCGTGGTCCCATGCATTGCAGCCACATCCAACAGCTCCTCAGTGATAGAGAGGTCCGACTTTACGCCTCTAATAAAAATTGATAGGTGCGCTGTGTCCGTGTTATCTGTGCTTTCATCAACAGCCAATGAAAAAGCTGTGTAGCTGCGTGTCTCCTCGGCCAGCTGTGTTGTAAGATTTTCTGCTAGTTCCTTCACTCGGCCGGCGATGGTGTTTCTTGATAAACTGACATTTTTAAAAGTCTGTAACTGGTCGGGACATACCTGCTCACTGACCTTCAGCATGCACTGCTTCAAAAACGCTCCCTCTGAAAAAGACTTGGAAGCGTGGGCGATTTCTTCAGCCACAATGAAGCTAGCTTTCACCGCAGCCTCGTTTTTGGCTGTGGATTTCACGAATAAACTCTGCTGCGACTGCAGTTTGCCTTTTAATTCTTGGGCAATTTGTTGCTTTTCTTGAAGACTAGCTTTAGCGTACTTGGCTCCGTGTTTGGTGTCAAAATGTCGACGCAGATTGTAGTCTTTGACAACCGACACTGCCTCGTAACACAAAAGACATACTGGTCTTTCGCCTTGAAGCACAAACAAGTATTCGCCTTCCCATCTTTGTTGAAACAGTCTTCTGTCTGCATCAACTTTTCTCTTTCTGGACATTTTGGGATCATTATTTATATCTCAATTCTACTTGTTGGCATGGACACTGCCGCGGGTAGCGCGCGTCGAAAGGCAATGTGGGAAATGTAGTTTTTGGTCAAAGCACGCTCTTCATTTATTTTTTGGTATTTATTTTTAGACACTCAAAACTTTTAAGCTCTCGCGGGCCACATAAAATTACATGGGGGGCCACATCTGGCCCGCGGGCCTTGAGTTTGACACATGTGCTGTAGACAGTGGATCCCTAATTATTCAGAAAGAGAGGCACCTCTCTCATTCATGGTCCACGGTAAAGGCCTCAGCACGCATGACAAACTGACTTGGACTACTGAAGCTGAAAAGGCTTTTCAGGACTTAAAAACTTCCGTATCACAGGCCCCGACTCTGGGCCTACCGAGACCTGACTTACCGTAGACTCAGTTCATAGACCAGAAGGACTGTTAAATGACATCAGTTTTGTGTCATCTTCATGGAGGGAAACTTAGGCCTGTTGCCTACTTCTCCTCAAAACTTGAGCCTGTTGCTTCGGGTCTTCCTCTCTGTTTGCGAGCAGTGGCAGCAGCCGAGAGAGACATTTTAGCATCATGTGACATTGTGGGCTTCTGTGATGTCACACTTATGGTCCCACATGCTGTCTCCCATAACTTACATGTCCAGAAGATTTCTCACCTCTCTGCTCAGAGATGGCTCAGGTATCCAGAGGTGTCAAAAGTATTCACATTCATTACTAAAGTATAAGTACAGATACTAGGGTTTAAAAAGACTCCTATAGAAGTTGAAGTATCGACTCAAGCTTTTTACTTAAGTAAAAGTATAAAATGACTGGTTTCAAAACTACTTAAAGTATAAAAGTAAAAGTAATGTAAGAAATTCCATTAAGGACAAACTCTTAATGTGTAACCTCGCTCACACAACACGTCAGTCCGTTACAATGTGATCAGAAGGTGCCTGCGGATCACGTGACCTGCCGTTGGGATGATGGAAACAACAACAACAACAACAAATGTATCTGACTTAAACAGATAAAACCACAACCCATTTTCCAGTGACACAAGTCACACACGCGTTGTTCGCATTGATGAGGTAGACTGCAGTGTCTCCCCCAGGTTCACTACGTCATGGGGGGGTCGCACCCCTGTTTATAATGATGGGAAACACTGAACTGGCAGCGGTCGGTTATCAAAACATTGGTCAAATAACCAGTAGGTTCAGGCTTCATGAGCAAATACAGAATCCCTTTGTGTTCCTTTCCAAAGCCGCATTAAGACACACATCAGTTTATTTAATACGCTGCACTACTTGCAAGTCGCTGTGTTGTGCCAGACTCTCAATGAAACATTTAGGACAAACCCACGGTCATGAAGACACTCATTTAACGTTACATGGAATCTGCGTGAGGAAGAAGAGGAGGAGGAGGAAGAGGAGGAGGCTCCATGTCGCTAAATACCAACTTTCCACCGACCACTTTTCCCACCCGGTGTCGCTCCGATCTGCCGGCGCATCGCGGAGAAAACCAATCGGGTGTCTGGATGCTAAATGTTTATACTTCTCATCCAACCACAATCAAATTCACTGTCCGCATAGCTCCATTTATCTGGATGGGTTTTTGGGTGTGTGTGTTTGTGAACGACGACAAGCCGGAAGTAACAAGGCTGTTTTTAAAATGTAAGGAGTAGAAAGTACAGATATTTGCGTGAAAATGTAAGGAGTAGAAGTAAAAAGTCGTCTGAAAAATAAATACTCCAGTAAAGTATAGATACCCAAAATTTCTACTTAAGTACAGTAACGAAGTATTTGTACTTCGTTACTTGACGCCTCTGCAGGTATCATACGACATTGTTAGAACTGCCTAACGTAATTGTCAAACGATGCAATGTCCTTAACCCAGATACACTTCTTCTAACTGCAGATGATGGAGAACCTCATGATTGTGTCGAAGTCTTGCAGCAGACATGCGTTCCAAGGCTTGATCTGTTGGACACACCGCTTCCCAATGCAGAGCTTGAGCTGTTTGTAGACGGCTCCGCTTCTCGCTCACCAGACACGGGCAGCGGTCAGGTTGGGTTTTCAGTGGTTACATCACACAGCACACTTGTTAGTGGCAGGCTTCCTTCACACTTCTCAGCACAGACGGTAGAGTTGATTGCACTTGCCGAGGCATGTAAGGCAGCTGAAGGTAAAACAGTTAACATCTGCTGTCCACACCGACCGATCCTAGTCCTTATGCCGATCTTCCCACACTTCAGCCTCTTGCCGGTGCACAGGAGCGTTCCCTGTGGAAACGATCTGGTGCCATTCTTGAGGGCGGAATCTGGACAGGGCCGGACAGTAGGCCCTGTTTGCCACGTGCTCTCTTCCACATTTATGCTAAGTTGTCTCACGGAAAAGACCACGTGGGCAAAGGGGGGATGTGCACTGCTATAAATGAGCATGCTGAGATATTGTGTTAACCTCTCCCCTTCACTCTCAGCACTGCACGGAGAGGTGAAAGCGGCGCTTCCATCCACAAGAACACTCCAAAAAAGCATGGTTGGAGCCTGAGTATGAACATGTGTTTATCACTATCACTGGCCACGTTAGTGCTGATTCCCCTCACGATCAATGAGCTACAACCTCCTTATGTGAACATCACAGATTCCAGCCTTCTCCATCTCTCCAATAAGAAATTTCAGGAAGGGAAAATAAGTTTACACTGCCCAACTAAACAATGCGACAAGACCGATTGTTTGCACTACACAATAGAGCATGATTCATGGGTTAGAATAGAAAGTCACGTAAATGAAATTGTGTGTGTTGCCGGGTTGGGAGAAGAATATGTACTGTGTGGGTGCACGGAAGATTTGGTTTAGAAGATCCACCATTCTGGTGCAGTAAACCACGATCGTGTCAGGAGATACCAGCCCACACTGGCTCCAGCAACTGGAGGGAGGCATGCAAAAGAACTTACCAGCCTGTCAGCGAGACACAGCCTAAAACAGTACCACCTGAAATCATTTACGAGGCCGTTAAACCACAGGCCCTGACCTCCCGCAGGCCAGAACAGCCCCCACCAAAGCAACTTGGAGGCGAGGGTTGATCTCTCTCAATTGTCCGAGAGGGGGGACTGAGAAGGAGGGTTGTAAAGTTTACATGTTACGGCTGAGCACGCCACACTTAGGTCGCTGGTCAGTCCTGGACTCGGAGGACTTTAGGACTCAGACAAACGACACTTGCACGGTGACTCTAAGCCCAAAATATGTGTTTTTTCCATGTTTTAGTTTGCAGGATTTTGCTCAGTGTACAGCCAACCACATCTGGCATTCTGCCTTTATTCATGTGGGCTTCAACCAAGACTTTTCTTTTTCCAAAATTCAGCTGCCTTTGTGTGATCCTAAAATGCATCGACACAAGCTGAATACCCTCAGTTAAGAGAATCCCATTCAGCCTGTTTTTTGCCTGCTGCTCTGCTTGTGTTCCTGTTTCCATCAATGGACAGTTTACACGATGCTTTCCCTTGTAACATGTGGGTGTTTGCCAGTGTAGGATATTAGAAACAAATATACCACCCGGTTCATAAAATTAATAAAATGCATATAGTGTACACCAGAATACAGCCGTGATGCTGAAACTGTAATCAATAAAGTAATGACAATATTGTAAAACTACTGTAAATCTGCAACTGTACTAGAATAATACCAATGCAGTTATGATTGTATTTGATGTAATGTAATCAACTGGAATGCATGCATGTAATACTTGAACAACAACTGATATTGACTAAGGATCATTCGAAATCCGAGTTACATTGAACTCACCAGAAGACCACTCCCAGAGGTGTGGACACTGACTTTCACACGTTTAAGCATTGTTATAAAGACCTGTAGGAACCATTGTTCTCGAGTTCACTGGTGGAGGCGACAGACGGGCACTAGGGATCGTCAGAAGGACTGACCTGGGGCCTGTTGGTCGCTGAGACCAGCGGCTCCTCAGCTGAGATGTTCTTTTTACCACAACACCATCTCCTTTATTAAATACATTTGATTTTAACCTTTTGATCAGCGATGACCTCTGTCCGTCCGGCATTTCTTCATTTTTGAACACAACACGTGCAAGTAAGCCTACAGTTAAGAACTTCCAAACCGAACACCACCGTACGAGCATGACAATATTGCGTTGACTATTATGAATGATTTTGCTAACGAAAGGAATGTCTCTAATTGTTGGATATGTCAACATATGCCCATTTCATCTAGAGCACCTATGCTGGTTCCGGTTCCATTCACGGAAGCCGACTGGGATGTCATGGGGTGGCCTGAGCTATCTCATCGATTTGTGAGTAATGATGAAGACTGTTACACTCCTCCACCGCACACGGCGACAACAGTGCAAAGCACAACTGCCTATGAGGGTGAAGAGGGGGAAGTTGTACGTTTTGCAGTTAAGCAGTTTAATCGTAAAAATAGACCTATAGGTATTAATCAAGTGATGTTGTTTAGATTAACCTATTACAAAAGATACGTCCAACAAGGGTTAAGATATCAAGTGCAAATGACTCTCGGTGAGAGTAATTGCACGGCGGAGAGTGAAGTGTTAAAAACTGCATGTGCTCTCTTACCAAATACAGCATCTATTCGGAGAGAGGGCTAGCGCAAATTGTGTAACCGGCAACTCGCTGAGGCACTTCCTGTTGCAGGTTGCGGTGCCGCGGCGAATCGTGGCAGCTGCCTCGAGTTTACGGCAACTGCCTCGCCTGTTGCCTCGGCTGAGTGAGGTACCTCGAGCGGTACCACGAATTCAGGGGCCGGTTCATCGGTCGAGAGAGGTACCTCCAGCGGTACCTCGAGTTAAGGGAGTCTTGCCAAGACCGGAGGCATGCAACGACCAAAGGGAGCGGTGCATCGGCTGATAGAGGTACCGGGAGTTTAAGGGAGAGGTGCCACGGCTGTTTCCATTAATTTTAGTATTCATATGTATGCAACATGTGACAGTATAATACAGTATAAGTACGACTGTTATCTGCGGGTTGAGTTGCCGTGGCGAGTCGTGGCAGCGGCC